TAACAAAATTGGTGAATTTTTGTGTAGTCATTTTAATATTGAAGATGGGAGAAAATATGCAACATTTTTGGCATATTATGCTTTATTATTTCAAGAAAGGTAAAGATGCATCTGAAACGCAAGAAAAGATTTGTGCAGTGTATGGAGAAGGTGCTGTGACTGATTGCACATGTCAAAAGTTGTCTGCAAAGATTCATGCTGGAAATGTCTCCCTGGACGATGCTCCACCGTTGGGTAGACCAGTTGAGGTTGATAGTGATCAAATGGAGAGATTAAATGAGAACAATCAATATTATACCATACAGGAGATAGCTGGTGTACTCAAAATAGCCAAATCAATAAAGTTATTGGTAAAAATTAAAAAATGTGTCTTTTATTTTCAGAAGAAACTAAACAGACTTTTTGGCCAAACCAGTATTTTGCAGGTGCTTATAGGCTGGCATGTGGCTAAGTCCTTCCCTGCTCACTGCCAACTACACCAGAGCAACTTTGTTTTCAACTGTTTATCTATAGGGCTTCTGGGTAAGAGTTATTTTGTTTCCTTCCAGTTGCTGCTGCTGATGGTGATGGTGTGGTAGTGGGGAGGATTAATCAACTGATAATGTGCAATTGTAGCTGAAAAAAAAGGGGAAATTATTTCCAGTTGTGTACAGCATGAGACAGCAACATTTGAACAGGGTTTTCCAAAGATAGAAATGTAGAAAGGGGATTTCCAAAAGAAGGGCAATGAAGTAAATGTTTGGGGGTGGAAGAAATCAATGTGTATAAATTGGCTGTGAAATAGTGGTTGCAAATGCAGGTGGTTTGAGGCCTAGTCATGGAAGACTTTAAGCCAAATGATGAGTTTGGACTTAGGTAAGTGGGGTGTGGATTTTTGTTTGTTTGTTCGATATGTGTGAGTTTTTCTTTAAATAGGCAGTTTGGGAAAAATTAACCCAGCAGTATTAATTTGAAAGGATAGAAAGAAAGAGACAGTTAAGGAAGCTAATTAGCAAATTGTTGAAATAGTTTAGGTGAGGGCTGAGGGCCTGAAATAGGTTGTTAATAGAAAAGAAGCGGATAGAGGAATAACCAGGTAACTTTGGCAGCTGGTTTGATAATGAAGTGTTGGGAGTCAGAAGAAACAGAAGTTGTGATTTTGCACTATGCATGTCGAATGTTGGCAGATGATGGAGTTCACACTGGATACCCCTGACTTAGTGTGGGGGATCAGAATAAGGGAATTGAGGTGAGTGTAGGACATGAGCTTGGAAAAGGTGAGAGTAGTAATGGATTTGGAGAATTTTATGAGGGAATTAAAGCCATTGATCAAAAAAGGGAACCAAAGTCAACATGACTTTGTAGTGGAACCATTCTGCCAGATACATATTTTTAAAAATAATTGATGAAGAGAATTTTTTTTAATTTCATTTTTTTAAGATGTAAGAAAAATTATTTTGAGCCTCTGTGTCAGACTTCTGCCAGCAAATAACTAAAAGCTCACCGGTAGTCTGGTAGCATCATTTCTGACTTCCTTTAAGTTGGTGCCCTGAAGTTCCTTACTGACATTTTTGGTTTTTGTTGGAGAAAATATAGTAATACAATGGTGCATGCTAGGAAAGGGTTTCTTAGCCACTGAACATAGACATTAGATCTCTAGGATAAATATTTTTGCTACATGATAACCTACAGAAATGAAATTTTATTTGAAAAACTTTAATGTATTTTATACAGCTTAAGCAGGAACACATGTAAATTCATGTCAGAATGACTAGATTTAGTGTGACTTCATTATCATATTCATGAGCCTAATGAGGCTATTTGTTACTATGGTGGTTCTCTTTTACATTCACCTGTGATGATGAGTATACAATTTAGAACTTTTTTGAACTTTTCATCTGTCTCTTTTGTATTTTATCTTATATAATGTTCTCCATATACAGGTACATTTCTTATTTGAAGACACTTTGTTGGAGATTAGTTTGTTTATATTTAGAGTAGCTTCACTATTAAAGAATGAATGAGAATTTAATGCTCCTGAAAATCAGTATAGACTAGAACATTTGCAACCCTATTTGGTATAAATTGTCCTTTTTACTTTTTTCCAAAATGGTACCCTTAATGCTTTAAAGAAATTTTGGAATGTATGTTGGAGAGTGGGGAGAGTAAGTAATTTTAAAAACATTGAGAGAAAATTCTTTTGACACTTAAATGTCAAAGTGATACTTAGATAAGGTACATGGGATCTTTGATAGCACAGATTTTTGAAATTTAAAGCTAGTCATGGGTATAATTTTCACTGACAAATGTGAACAAAGCCATATTTGGGGGCAAAGTCCTAAGTAGTTTAGAATTGATAGAAAGTTATGTTTTAGGCATCTGCTATTGGTTATTTCTAATTCTGACTTCTTAAAATATGGTAAATTATTATTTTTTTTATCAGCACACATCTGGAGGCCTGCACACTGAAGTCAACACAGATGTCATTAGTTAAACGATTAATCACAATACTCCCAATGCATTTAGTGTTGAAGATAAAATGTATACTTTATAAAGTCATCCACATATTGAAGAAAGGCATTAGATATGAAATGCATATGCTTGTTTGATTTTATTATTTGCCCTTTAAACAGGGCATTTCTGGGTTTAAGGCTTTAAAACTGACTGATTAAATGAAATTGAATGGTTATCAGTGTATGTGATAATTGAAAATTAAATCACAATTTAGTCAGAGCTATATCGCAGGAGTTACCAGTCAACCCCTAGGGATTACAAGTCACAGCTTGTTTATGTTATATACTCACTTAGTAGAGTTTACATATATTATAATTTATGTATATTGAAACATGTTTAGTATGGAGAATTTTTAAGTGTTGCAAATAATATTTGGGGCTGTTAATACTCTTACCATTTAACTCTTTACATAATATAGTTTAGGAATGTACTAAACTATTCCTAATTAATAAAGAAAATCTTTAAAATTTCTACCTAAAATCTATTATAGATTCTGGTTTGTTATTGTGAACATTTAAGTTTCTTAATGATACTCTTATTAAATAATTTAAAATACTTAAGTTGTAATTCAAATGGTTAATTATTGTCTTGGATATTTCATTAGTGGCGATTGGAAGGATAGCATGGCATAGGGGCTTCAGATAAAACATTATGGTTAAGAAGTATATTGAAATTTATGTGATGATTAATGAAGAATTTAACCAACTTCTCTTATTTGTATCTTTGTGTGCTCAAGTGTCATAATTATAAAGTACTTTATAATACCAAAGAAATACAGAGCTATTGTCAGGTCTTTTTTTTTGTATGTTCTTCCTAAAATTTTGCTCACAATGTTGTTTTTCCCCCCTTTCATGAGGTTTAAATGTACTTAGCCATGTTTCTAATAGGTGTCTACTAATATGAAGCTAATGATTAGTACATACTTAAGAGAGTATGTGACACTCATAGTAACCGTGACTTGGATTGGGGGGGGATCAGGCAAAAATTTACAAGGTCTGATTTAGAGTTGCATGTTTCACAGCTATTTGTTGTGCATATGCTAGGTACTATTTGAGTTTTTTAAGAATACAAAAATAAAATATAGTTGTTACTCTTGAGCTCAGGCACTAGTAATGGACACAGACATAAGCTGAGAATATGATTGTACAGTATGTAAGTGCTGAGAAAGAGATGCACACAAAGAGAGGACCCAGTCTCTGAAGGTAAGAGGAGGAGAAGGCAATGTGGAAGGCTTCCAGAGCTAATTTTGAAACTGATTTCTTAAAAATTATTTTTCCCACATTTTATTTTGAACCTCTCAATCTTGTAGAAAAGTTTAAAAGAGAGAATAGGTGGGGGGGGGGGGGGGTGAAGGGGTCAGAAGGTACAAACTTCAGTTATAAAATAAGGCATGAGAATATAATACACAGCAATGGTGACTATAGTTAATAATGTATTGTGTATTTGAAAGTTGCTGAGAGAGTAGATCTTAAAAGCTTTATCACAAGAAAAAAATGTAAGTGCATAATAATGATAACTAGATTTATCATGGTGATAATTTTGCAGTGCACACAAATATCAAATAATTATGTTGTACACTTAAAACTCATATAATGCTATAGTTAATTATATCTCAGTTTAAAAAGAGGGCAAAAAACACCTCTAAGTTTCATCTTTTGTCATGTTTACTTTATTTCTATCATGTATGCTATATATAATATATACCAAATACATACAGATAACCATTTGTAAGTAAACTATCAACAAAACACTTGACTCAGATATTTCAGTGTGCATGCCTTAAAGAATAAAGACATTCTCAAACAATTTTATAATCAAGTTTCAGAAAATATTTTAACTACTTTTAAAATTTTTTTTCTTTTAAAAAAAACCCCAAACAGATTTTTGACAGAGAGGGAGGGAGGGAGGGGAAAAAAAGGGAGAGACACATTGATGTGAGGGAGAAACGTCAATCGGTTGCCTCTTACACATGCCAGGACTGGGGACTGAGCCTGTAATCCAGGCATGTGCCCTGACCGAGAATTGAATCTGCAGCCTTTCACTTTGCTGGACAATGCCCACACCAACCAGGGCTGGTCTGCTTTTTATCTGTTCATGAGTTACCTTTTTTGTGCTTAGCAGTTCTGAATTTCAGGCTGGTATATTTCTGCTACTCAACTTGTCTTACTGTTAATAGTTTTCTGTTTTGAAAGATTATGAAATAGGCCTTATAAAAATTAGCCCAAGGAAAATCAGGAAAGTAAAATATCCTCCAGAAATTATAAGAACTTTTCATGGCAAATAGAATTTATTATACTAACTTCTGTTTTAGATTATCTACAAATTCAAGAATTGAGAACATACATGACAGCATAAGCTGAGATTTAAAGAGGATGATTACCATTTCTCATATATTTGGTATTAGATGTTTTGAATTGTTACAGTCTTCAGTGGCAAACTTTTTGAAGTTTTTTATTTACAGAAATAATACATGAGAATTATTTAGACGCATCTGTTTTTGTTTTCAGACTGGACTGGGTTAGATGAAGATGAAGATGCGCATGTCTGGGAGGATAATTGGGATGATGACAACGTAGAGGATGACTTCTCCAATCAGTTACGGTAAGCTTTAAGCCAGATTTTTATATAACTTAGTATTAATTGTAAGCACAGAATATGTCATCTACATATGATAATTAATCTTTGAAATATGTTTTTGGATTATGCAAAGTAGGCCATATTGCCCTCATCTCCTGTGTTTCTAAACATGAATACTTTTGTGTAATTGCCTAGAACTTTTGTTCTTTCTAGGCTTTTTACAAAAGTAGTTAAATAGAAGCATATTTGCTATTTTTCATCCTGTGGGTTTAATTCTGTTGAAGTTAATTTTCTGTCTATATTGAATAACTCAGCAAAAATTAGAATTATAAGTGCTAGGACCCAGTATATTGGTTTTCTCAACCTGGAACGGAGATGGGTGTGATAGGAGTGCACTTTTCGCATTCATGTGCGTATCTACCTAGTATGATTGATTGGCCCAAGTAAATTAACCATTTTAAAGTGTACAGTTAGGTTACTGGCATTTTGTATATTCACCGTGTCATGTAACCATTGTCTGAATTTAATTCCAAAACATTTTCAGCATCCCAAAAGGAAACAGCCAGTTTCCAAAAGTAAGCAGCCAGCCTGCATTCCTCTTTTTGGCCAGCCCTCGGCAACCACTAGTCTACTTTCTTTTTGTGGATTTGCGTGTTCTAGACATTTCATATGAATGAATCATACAATAAGTGATCTTATATGGCTAGCTTCTTTAACTTAGCATAACGTTTTCAAGTTTTATCCAGGTTGTAGCATGTATCAGGACTTCATTTATTTTTATGGATGAATAATATTCCATTGTATGGGTATACCACAATTTGTTCATCCATTTATTAGTTCAGGGACATTTGGGTTGTTTCCAGCCTATGACTGTTTTTTAAATTTTTTAAAGAGAAAGGAAGGGAGAGAGAAACGGAGAAAAACAGCTATGTGAGGGAGAAACATCAATCTATTGACTCTTATAGATTGGCGAAATCTATAATATAAAATGTGGGTTTTGCAGATAGCAGGCCAAATCCACAACCTAGGCATGTGCCCTGACCGGGAATGGAATGGGTGACTTTTGGCTTTGTGGGGCAAAACCCCACCAACAGAGCCATACCAGTCAGGACCTAGCTTATGACTGTTGAGAACAGTGGTGCCGTGAACATTCATGTACAAGTTTTTGTTTTGAATACCTGTTTTCACTTTTTTGGGATATAATCCCAGAGGTAGAATTGCTGGGTACTGTCTTAAAACACTTGAGGAACGGCCAAATTGTTTTCCAGAGCAGCTGTACAGTTTTACATTGCTACCAGCAGTGTGTGCTGTTTCTAATCTCTTCACATTCTCACCAAAACTTGTTTCATTTTTTATTATAATCACCCTAGTCAGTGTAAATTGGTATCTCATTGTTTCAATTTTATGTTTACCAAATGATGAGCTCTTGTATTTGTTGATCATTTGTGTATCTTGGAGCAGTATCTCTTAAAAGTCCTCTGCCCATTTTTAAGTTGGGTTGTTTGTCTTTTTGCTGTTGAGCTGTACACATTCTTTGTATATTCTGGGTACTGGGTTCTTATCAGATACAAATTTAGAAATATTTTCTCCCATTCTGTTAGGTTGTCTTTGTACTTTCTTCATAGTGTTCTTTGCACAAAAGCTTGTAATTCTGGTGAAGTTCAGTTTATCTACTTTTAAGGAATTCATTGACAAATTCAATGTTATGAAAATTCATCTCTGTGTTTTGTCGTAGAATTTTCTCTCTTACATTTAGGTCTTCTATCCATTGTGATTTAATTTTTGTATATGTTATGAAAGTAAGTGTCCATCTTTATTCTTTTGCATGTGAATACCCAGTTGTACCAGCACCGCTCATTGTGGAGGTAATTCTTTCCTTCTTGATTTTATTTTGATTCAACCCATAGCCATCTGTTTTCATGAAGATATCTAAGTAGACTGTCACATACTTTGCTCAAGTGAAGGTAGGAAGTTCTGTTGTGCCTTACTTTTCTAGCCTAGTACATTTCTTCAAAAAGGAAATGAGATGATTTATAACAAACTTCTATAATTTTTTAAAATCTTGTTACAGCTTCTATTTTACAATGTCTTTTTTTATAAGCTCAAAACGCTACATTCTAAAGACTTTAGTATTTTGGAGACAATTTTAGTAGTATTCTGGAAACTAATAACAATTTTACCTATCTCCTTTCTCCTCTTTTTGGAAATACACAATTTACCTTTCACTGTTAATTCTGGTGCTTTTATAATTTCCATGACATCTCAAAATTTCTGACTGTTATTTTTGACTATATCTTTTCGTTCTTTCAGTACCCTGAGATGTAATTATTCAGAGCCTTGAGACTTTAAACTACTTTAATGCATTATGGAATGATCTCATCTGTCTTAGTCTTGTCTTAATGATGTTGTTTTTCATTTGCAGTTTTATGGACAAGATAGGAAAAATAGCTGTTGAAAAGTAGTCCTCCTTTTTCTCTAAAATCTGTTAAAGCTACACCATCTAGTCTGAGCATTGGGTCTATCTTTTCTTATTCTTCTGTATTCATACATAGCTCTCAAAAGCACTTTTTTTGTTCTTTTTAAAGATCTCAGTCCATTCTACAATTAAATTAATTCTATGTATACAAGCTCTTAGCACTTTTTGCATTTATTTTCGGTTTAATCCTTTTAAAACTGAGCCACATCAGAGAACAACATGCTGCTACCTATCTTTTATATGCATCCCCCTTTCTTCCACATTGGAATATATTATGCTGTTAAAATATTTATTATTAGGCCTTCCAACTCTGTTAGTCACTGTTCTGTGTTCTTAATTGTATATCAGTGTTTCTGTTATCTTCTTGAAATTTTTTAAGTTCAGGGTAAATGAGATTTTTTCCTTTGCTATTCAAATAAGTCACATTTCTCCATAGTATTTTTTTTTTTGTCTTTCATTAGTCAGAAGATAGCACTTTTCTCATAAAAATTAAATCAAGAAATTATTGAGTGGTATGAATTTATTGGGAACTTTTAGTAAGATATTGATAATTGGATTTGTCACTACTACATCTTACCTGTTTACTGTTTTGGAAATACAGTATTATTCACATGTTCTTCGTGGCTTGTTGTTTTTATTATACACCTCCACGGTGCTCTTATGTACTCTGTTGTGTTTCTGCCTTTAAGTTTATGGCTTTCCATAAGTGTATCAATCTTGGTGTCTCCGTTAGTGAATAAGATTATTTCCCTGTTTGATTTGTATTTTTCCCCCATAAGGTTGTTGATATGTCTCCAGTGCTGTCAGATAGAATTTACTATAGTGTTGAAAGTGTTCTCTAAGCCGCACCGTCCCATACAGAACCCACTAGTCACATGTGGCTGTTGAAGACATGAAATGTGGCTAGCGTGATTAATGATCTACATTTAATGAACTGATTTTACTAAATAACCACGTGTGCGTACAGTATTGGACAGCCCAGCCTCAAAAACTTGTTTTGATTAACAAGTCTCCAGGAAAGATGTTATCCTTAGTCTTTATAAAATGCGTTGAGGCCTTTACTGTGGTATTGTGAACCATGGCTTTTAAAAAAATGTTGTTACTACTACCTAATATTGTTGGGTCCTAACCCATCTAACTCGAGAGAGGCAGATCGTACTATAGAGTCAATCACATTCCTTGAGTTCCAACTCCAGATCTGCCTGTTATTTAGCCACATGTCTAAGAGGGACCTAGCTCCCACTTCCCATGTTTCTCTCTTTTTTGGTGTAATTACATTTAAAAAGTAGAAATAAAGCTACCTGTGTCTCAAAGTAACTAAAAGTCCTCCTGTCTTTGCATTTCTGATATATGTTTCTCTCTATATCTGTAGAGATATGTAGGATATGAGATTTTCCTGACCCTGCATCACATTTTATATAAAAACTCCCAGCCACTGTAATTCCTAATTTACTCTGTCAACTACAGCCACTGATATAAAGGAATAGTTTTTTGGGTAGTAAGTTGTCCAAAATCTACTAGTGGCAATTAGTCTTAGTCTTGTTTTATTGTAAAAGAAAGCTGATGTTTTTGTTTCAAGTGGTGTATTTTCACTATGTGTGCCCCATTTCTTCTCTTTGTTGGATTTTTTCATTCAACAGTTCATATTACTGTTTTTGTATTGTTTTGTGTTTTGTATTTAGTGACCTTGATTTACTTTCCTTTTGATTTCTTATATATCCTAAATGTAAGTGGTCACTACCTCCTGTAAGGAAGTCAAACAGTTACCAACCTGGACGGATTTAGTGTACTTGTTTACCTAAATCTTAGATTGATTTTCTTTTTTTTACCCCCATTGGTGTTAAAATAAGAAAGTGAATAATGTAGAAAGGTGGCAGAAAACTATTGTTTAAGAAAGTTTTAAGTTTATTTTCATTTTAAATAGGAAACATGTCAAGTATAGATACTATAATTTTCAATTTCCAGAGTTGCAGGGCAAAAGAAGCATTTTTTTAGCAAAGGGGTTGAATCTGAAACTTGTGGTGATCTTTTGACTCCTAATCTAGCATTTTAGTACCAGCCCATACTTCCCTCTATACTTGAGCAGAAGAAAGATGATTCATGTGAATAATGTCTGGCCTTAATATTATTCATGGACTTTAGATCAGCATTTATATTACCAATAACTAAAGATCAGAGGACTTGAAGGACTTTGAGGAAATAAATAATATACATTATACATCAGTCCTACCATGTGATTTTTTACATTGTGTTTAAATTGGATAATATGATGGTGTCTAATCTAAGTTATACCTAACAACAAACACCTTTGTCTTATTGAATATAATGATGTAGGGCACATTAATCGTACATTATATAGTGTTTTATCATAAATTAGCCTTCAAATAATTTTGTGGTAAACTTACAAGATTTGAATTATGGCAGGTAAGTTGCTGGTGATATTTGGAGTGGTAGTTTGAATACCACATTTAAAATTAGGAAAATAATGTTTCATTTAATATTTTATTAATATTTAATAATAATATTTAATGATATTAATATTAATAAAATAAATGTTGCATTTATTTTGCCTACACAGAGTTAATGCAGAATAATTCTTACAACTTTAAATTTGATTTATAATTGTCTTATAATAAGCTCAATAGGTACAGCAATTTGTTTATTCTTTTTAAAAAATCTTTATTTATTGGTTTTAGAGAGAGAGAAAGGGAGGGAGGGAGTTGATTTGTTCTGCTTATTTATGCGTTCATTAGTTGATTCTTATATGTGTCCTGACCAGGGATTGAACCCACAACCTTGGCATATGGGGATGATGCTCTATCCAACTGAGCTACCTAACCAGGGCCTGTTTATTCTTTATATGTAAATAACAGTAATATCTATTGTGATGATTATGAATTTCCTAAAAGTTTGTTACCACTGTATTGTATTCTTAACCATATGGTTAATGATTCTTAAAATTTGTTTAAATATTTATTATTAACAGAACATCTGTATGGTATTTGGAAGGTATTTGGAAGATAGCAGTAAATTTCTTACATTTCCTCTGTAAATAGATTTATCAGAAAATTAAGGAATATGAAATATGTTTACTAATGGGAAATGGGAAATTAAAATTTTATTAGCATTATGTTGATTCACATCCAATTTCTTTTTTATATAAGCTTCTTTTTAGGGACTAAGGTAAAGCTATTTGGTAGTATTTTAAATTGGTGCCTAGATTTAGCTCATTGTTTAATTTATCATAAAGAATGTCTAGTAACATTGTATTTTTGTGTTTTATTATAGAGCTGAACTAGAGAAACATGGTTATAAGATGGAGACCTCATAGTACCCAGAAGAAGTGTTGAAACAACCTAAAATTTAGAACTGTATACTAAATTCCAGGACAGAGAATCGAGGATGGAACACTTTAAAAATGCTTATTTCATTACCTGCTTGGCTTTACTTTCGCTTTTGTAACACAAAAAAATAAATGTTTTGATCTAATTTTTGTTTGGTTCAGAAGTCTTGATTTTTGCCTCTAATAATTAATTTTCTCATACTGTTCATGATTTTCCAGGACTTACTTACAGAGTGACAGTAAAATTTCCTATTACAAATTTTTTTAATGTTAACTGAGTCTCAGAGAGGTTAAATGATTTGAGGCTAGAATTCATGTGATCCCCAATTCAGTACTTTTTTTAAAACACATCAATTAAATATAGGTTTTATTTATGAGGTTCTTTTAAGTCACATTTAAACTTAATCTTGTCTGTATTTCGAAAGCTTAGGCAACATTTATGGACATTTTTAAGATGACCCTTCAAAACCTGTGTTTTTGATGATTAACATTTTAAAATGATTAATATTGTAAAACAGGTTTTGAAGAGTAATATATTAATCATTTTAAATTGCTAATTAGTTACTGAGTCATTATATTAATAGTAATAGTTGATAGAGTATTATTATTTAAAATCCAGAGTGATTTGGTTGCAGTTCTATGAAAGGTGTCCTCTGAAAATTGGGGAAGTGGGCTCAAGATAATTTGTTAACATATGCACACTCTCAGGTACTACGTAACATTCATTTGCCACATCTACTTTTCTGAGTGGGAGATGTAATTTGGTAAATGATTCTTTCTGGTAAGACTTAGAATGGGGTTATTGTTCAGTTCTTATTATGAAAAATTTTAAACTTGACTGTGTTACTCGTTTAGAAATAGAATCAGTGGTACTGCTGAGTAATTTGAAATGTCAAATTTATTTAACATGATTTAGTATTGACACCAAAATAGGAGTTGGGCACCTGAAATATAATTTGTTATGCCTTGAAATGATTTTGAACATAAAATGGTTTTCTCCCCCTAAGATAAGCATAAATTTGCCTTGTCTACCTGACAGAACTATTAGATAATCAGATAAAATAATAAGAACGAACTTTGGAAAAGTATAAAAGGACCTTATAGTTTTGTCAGCATATAGTAAAGCACAAGCAGACATGTTAATGTAGCATATGAAGAAATACTTTGATGGATATTTTCTCTATATTCTGGTCAACATATATAAGGTCATCTTTAGACCCCATATCATTGGTCACCTTGACTGTGTCACATAAGTCCACAGAGAGATGGCCACTTTATGTGACTTAAGCTGGTGAGGTACAGTTTTGAAACCTCATAGGAATTGGGCAGGGGCTTTAATAGGTTATCTCTATAAAGCCAGTGTTTTGTCTTTAAGGAAATTTCAGAATTTAGACGGTTTTCTCTGTTAAGGATTGAGTACTAAAAATTGGTACTTGGTATCAGGATTATGAAGCACATCAGTGGTAGAAAGTGAGACTGGTCAGGCAGCTGTCTTTATGGGATTATACAGTTAGTGAATTTCTTCAACTTTTGATCTTCACAATGACACTGTGAAGCATGCAGAAAGAACATGTCTAATAAATATTTCATCAAATAGAAAATTAGGTCTCAGAGACAATAAGTTAGAAAGTAAAAAGGTCCAAGGTTGCATAGCTAACAGGTGTCAGATACAGATTTGAATCCAGGTTTTTTCCCTTGTAATTTTCTGTAATCAATTCCATTTGAAATAGTTTTGAATTCAAACTAGACGTAATAATGTTCAGCATTTTTCATCAGGTCTTGGACTGGAATTGTTGCCATTGGATGCTGTGTCCTTTCATCCTATTTCCACTAAATGTTTAATTTAGAAGACTATGATGATGAGCCAGCTCTCTTGCGAAAGATTGTATGGTGTATTAATGCCTTTTTATGGCATGTCATGATCTATTCTGTATTTTTTAAGGATACTCATATCCTTTCTGTCCCACACCAAGTTGAAACAGCAAACATCTTCTACCCTTTTGGCTGAGAGCTAACCCTTTGTGCCACTCTCAGTCTACGCACACTGGATGCTGGGGAATTGCACTCAGCTGCCTTAATGGCTCCTGTTGTCCTCCACCTCTAAATCTTTGCATGAGTTTAGACTCTACTTTGGGTCTAATTCTTGCTCTATCCATAATTCTCTTCATCTAGTCTCAGATGCTTTATTTAAAAAAATCCTATTATTATATGTATATAGATATGTATTATTTCATTCTCTATTCTCAGTCTTGGCCTCTCCCTTAAACCTCATTTTTCTGTACCTAACAGCACCATCTCCTCTCCAGTGTCTAATGGCTGTATTGAAGTTAACTTGATGAAAACAGAAGCCTTGATTATTCTCAAACCTGATCGTTCCTTCAGGCTTCCCCATCTCAGCAAATGCCTCCACCTTAATTGCTGAAGCCAACACTGTAATAACTGTTCTTGAATCTTCTCATGTCCCAGTATCCATTCCATTGGCAGGCCTTGGCAACTCTACCTCCAAAGCCTGTGGGTGATGTCGAACTTGACATTCATTCCCTTTTTCACCCCCTCATATCCATTTTTTCACATAGGTCGTGACACAAATCAAGCTAGCTCCATTCCCAGTTTAGGGTATGCGGTTGCTTGATCTTGAACTAATAACTCCCATCTCCCATACAAATTAATGGATGGCTTAAAAAAATGTAGGTGAGTAAAACGATGGGTTAGAGACATCTGGCAAATAGCCACATAAAGCAAGGCTCTGGATATGAGTAAGAAAGTGTCTAATCTCAACTGCTGCTGGCAGTCATCTGATAACCATTTCAGTTTGAGGGGTAAGATGATGAGAAAGTCTGGAAGAACATGATTCTTTTGATGACATTGTTGAACGTGCTCTATTACTTGACTTTTATATAAGTGTACAAATTTCCTTATTTAAGACATCTTAGGTTGGATATTTGGTTACTTGCACCCAGAAACACAGTATATCCAGAATCAATCTATACTACCATTGACTATTATTTTAATCTAAACGACCACCATCGTTCACTAGGACTTCTTGCAATGATCACCTAACTGGTCTCCCTGTGCCTACTTTTTTCTGCCCTACAGTATATTCTGGTAAAAGCAGAGGGATCTTAAAATTTAGATCAAATCAGCCCTTAACTGCCATCAGGGGCTTCTTAAAGCAGCATAAAATCTAAATTGCTTATTGAAGCCCAACATGATCTTAACTTCTGCCTATCCCAACTTATATCACTTAATTTTAAGTAATGTCATATTTTTCACTTTTGGAGAGTAAATCAAAGATGAATCACCTAAGCAGAAAGTGATTGCACTTAGTCGTTTTAACATGCCAGGGGCTTTTGCGTGAGTAGTTCCCTGGAATGCTTACCCTCCTCATCACAAGTCAGGCCTTCCCTGAGCACTCAGTCTAAGGTGTCCACTCAGTTACTCCACAACGTTAACCTTCTAAAAAATGCTCTGCAATAGCACTGAATTTTTTTGTATTAACAATGCATTGCAAATGATCACCTCCCTGCACATTAGAAACTAATCATGACCAATGGCCAGAATATTGATTTGGTTTTACTCTAAATAGTTGCCTTGGGAATTCATGGACTGTCAAAAGGTTGATATAAGGATAAAATTAACTTTATAGGAGCCACAGTTTGAATGAATTCACTTGACAAAGAGAACCATTATTTTGCTCTTCTGGTTTTCCTTTTGTTCCATAGCTGTCATGGAATTTAATAAAGCCTTTTGTTACCTTTTGGCTACAGTCTATTATCCAGGAGGCATTAGAATATCACTGATGTCAACAAGGTAGAATGACAGAGTAAGGAGACTTGGATGTAGTCTTGGCAGCTTTTTACCAATGAAGTTAACATTTAGAGTTACAGGAAAGACCATTAGCTAACATTCCACTGGTGCACAGAACCGTTTAAAACTCCAGATTGTTATCTTCACCTGGGCCAGTACACTTTTGTTTACAATGTAATACTGTATATTTTTCTTTTTGGTTATTGTTTAAAGGTTTAGTTTGTTTTATTACTGGTCTCCTGTTTTAGACTGAATTCTTTGATGATAAAACCCCTTATTGTATTCATCTTGATACCTCCTCCTCTTAGGGTTCCCTCAGCAGACCTTGAGATAAGAATTTGAGTGTGAGTAGTTTATGACAGTTGAGATAGGGGAGTCAGGAAGTGAGGCAAGAAATACAGGGAAGCTAGGGAAGAGTACACAAGGTCTGTCCAGAAGGTATTCAGCCATGTACTATGAAAAATAAAGACATTTATTGAAAAAGATATAAGAAACATTGTACTTAGGACAATGACACCTCAGTCCCCTTTAAAGTAGGTACCTTGGGACTTCACACAGTTGTCCAAACCACCATCAGCTGCCCTGTTGTATTTTCCTGAATGTCATCAATGGTGTAAATTCTCTTCCCTTTCAAAGGTGATTTTAGTTTTGGGAAAAGGCAGAAGTCGCAGGGCGTGAAATCTGGGCTGTAGAGGGGCTGAGTCACCTGGGTGATTTGCTGTCTTGCCAAAAGACTGCATGAAACATGATGCATGAGCAGGCACGTTGTCATGATGAAGCTGCCAATCACCAGCTGCCCATAGCTGTGGACTTCCTGAATCATCCAAATAGTTTCTTCAGAGGAATGTTCAAGCTTGATGCAAAATTTGATGCAGGTTCGTTGCTCTACTCAGTCATTTTGAATGCGAGGACCACACAGTACGAATGTTCACTCAACGGTGTCTACTGCCGCCACTAAGTACAATGAAATTGTATGGTTCATGCATGTGCATTCCAGTCCACTCTCCTTGGCTACCAGGTTACAGCAATGTAGCACAAACCATTCTTATTACATTAACAATGGTTGGACTTTTTCTGGACAGATCTTGTCTATGAAGCAAATTACCACTGGGCAATTAGACCTTAATGCCACCTGGGAACTCTGGGAGCCATACACAACATACCTCTCAGAGATATCTGAACCAAAGTGCTCAGGGCTATGGTATCCAGTCAATTATTGGTTGAGAGTATGGGAGAGGGAAATTGTTCATTCCCCAGTAACTTAGTCTGGCCAATGTGCATGCAGAGTAAGTTCTAGCTGCCAAGTTCAAGTTGCTGGGAGTTTGAA